AACACTACAATATTTTCATCAGTTATCTGGTGAAATAAATTATAAAGCTCATTAAATCATTTTTTAGAACATTTTTACCTTATTTATACATTATTTTTATTCCCATAAAGAAAATATCTATTATATAAAATCTATTATAAAATTAAGTAATTATACTTACCGATAATATCATTGGAAAACTTGATAAATGAAATACTATCGAGAATGTGTAATGTTGTCAAAAAAAAAAGTAAGTCTAACGAAGTTATTGAATTTTATTACACATAAATTTAGTATAAAACTTTATAATTTAATTAAATATATTTTATTTTATTACACAATAAATGTGAAAAAATTTCTTTATGCCATGTAGAAGTATAATTAATAATTTTCAAAGTAAATGAAAATATAGCTCTATTAGACTAATAAAAGCACATTGGAATATAAAAATTAAATGAAATATACATAAATTATATGAAAAATTTCGTAGTATCGTTAAACTATAAAAAAAAAAAAAAAAAAAAAAACAACAGAAATCTAAATTTAATTTGAAAAATAGTATTTTCCGGTAATAATTACACATTATGCACATATTATGAATAATTAAAAGAAAAATAACAAAATTTGCTAAATAATAAAACAATCATTGGACGTAATGTTAAAGTTATTGTAGTGAAATATATTTACGAAAAATTTTCTTATTACTTTATTGTTTATTATTCGAATTTGAAGATCGAAATATGAGTTGAAAAGATATATATATATATATATATATTATTCATAGACACTTGGGTACATTTATTGTTTTATTTATTTTCTTTTGTAAAATACTGTGCCTCGTCCTTCTCGTATTCTTATTCGTTTAAAAGGGAGCTCGAAAGCAATAAAACAATATTTATCTTTCTATTTATTAATTTATTAATACGTATCATAAATGCTAGACAAATATGTGCCAAGGACAGTTTGCTGGCTCCTAAAACATGCCAAACCCAAAAAGGCGCGTCAATATGACAAAAACATACGTTTATCTCTCGATTCTATTTCCTCGTATTTCCATTGAATTATCTGACTGATGCAGTCGTTCTTACCCCGAATTTACATTTACGCAGTGAATTACAAAAATTGCGTTAGGCAGCCAAAATAGATTTTCATACAAATTTAAAAAATTTATAAAGTATATCGTTTTAAAGTTCTTTTATATTTAAAATACCAATCGCTGTTAATACTGATTACATTAAAACTTCATCAGTCTTTGTCGCTTTTTTCATGCTTACTTTTCGTGTTATAATAAGTAATGTACGCATTACATTATGCATTTTATGAATATCGAACACCGGGGGGGGGGGGGTGAACCCCCCAATCAAAATGTGTAACTAATCAACAACAGAACGAAGAAGCCCTAATTATAATAATAATGCGCGAGATAAGGAGCAAACTTTGGACAAGTGCTTACAATCTTGAATAAGCGTTACAGCGAAGTATAATTCCCGAATAACGGCTAACGGCTAAATATTATTTTTATTTTCTTCACTATACTCTATGCAATATATAATGACATATACAATATACGTTACAATTTTCCACGTGCTTATTTATTTATTTAATTATTTATTTAATTATTTATTTAATTACTTTTTTTTAGTTTTTTTTTAGTTTTTTTTTTTGTTTTTTGTTTTTCAATTAAACATCGCTATCATTGCCGTCATTTGTATTATTATATTTCTTTACTATGCGTTAGGCACACTCCCATTAGTAGCTTTCGTTATTAATCATAAATTTCGTAACCTAGCGATGCAACGCAATTTCGTGTCGTAGGTCGTAGGTCGTAGGTCGTAGGTCGTTGGTAGTAGGTGAAGGCGAGTGGTCTCAGCCGGATCCCCAAAGTCCTTCCCGATCTCATTTGCTTTTTCTTCCTGTCTCAAGCTGCCCGGGCACTTGTTCCGCACTAATCACTTATCAACATTTTCATGCGACTAGCGACAATTATGAACGTTTTATTAGGCGATTCGCTGCTAGCAAAATAAGACGAATAAGAAGAAAAAGTCGAAGATTAGAAGAGGGAGGAACGAGGGAGCGGGAGGCACTCCGCCGTGTGTGTCCACTCGACCTCGAGGCGCCAGAAGCCTTGGGGTCGGCGGGACGCTTCCTCGATATTCTTAATACTCCCAACGATGCATGTGCGTTTCGCTAAGAAAACTATAGGACGACGAGTATCGATCGACATCGCAACCGTTGCCCGCTCCATTCTCACAATATTTTACACATCGATAAGCCTGCTGCTTGCTTGCCAAACATTTTGCATTGTGTTCTTCTTGTTTTTTCTTTCTTTATTTATTCATTTTTGTTTGTTGTTTTTGTTTGTTGTTTTTTTTTTTGTTTTGTTTTTGTTTGTTTTTTGTTTAAATCTTGTATCGTAATCGTTATCGTTATCATTATCATTATAATTATTAATATTAATATTATTATTTCGACGTTTTTACAACTATTAAACACACCGTCGCCATCGTCGTTACTCTACGCAGTTTAGTCACAGTAAAGAGCATATCACAATAATCGATAAAAGCCTAAGGACTCTTGTTGGTCCCTATGACAATATCCTTTGTTTTGTTTCTTTATATTCATTTTATGGTTATTCGTTTGATAGCCTCTATTATTCAGTGCGCACGTACCTACCGTGCGTGCACCGTGGCGCACGCGTACGCCCACGCAGGCCTTTGCTTCTTAAAATAAATGAGCACTATTTGCAGGGACATAAAAAGAGCTTGAATAAACAATGGCTATTGCTAAGAATTTATACACGTTTAACGTCGAGTAAGAGTGAGAATGAGATAGAGAATCAGAGACAGACAGAGAGAGAGAGAGAGAGAGAGAGAGAGAGAGAGAGAGAGAAAAGGCATCGGACTACATCGAATCCTACAAAGTCTTCCATCGGCGATTTTGTCTCTAATGTGAAGGGAGGGCGGCGGCGCCGAGCGACTTTTAAACTTTCATACGATCCCTGCGATCACATCAAAATCCTCCGTCATTCAAGCGCCTTCCCGCCCCTGTTGATTTTTTGCTTGTCACCACTCTTTTCTTTTCATTTCTTTTATTTTATTTATTAATTTTTTTTTTTCATTTTTTTTTTCATTTTTTTTTCTTTTTTTTCTATGCTTTGTTCTTTTAAATCTTTGTCTTACGCGACGCTTTGAATGTATATGTGGATTTATAAATCGCTTGGCTATGGAGAAGGCAACTGTTCGCTCGTTACAATGTCGATCGTACGCTTACAACTTAGAGAGGCGCGGACAACGCATAATACATCGATAAAAAACGATGATAATTGTACGGATAAAATTCTCGCGAGTCTGAGGTTCCACGCACCACGGACACCTCGATTTTACAACACTTTGATATTATTATTGTTATTTATTTATTTATTTTTATTGATTTTAATTATTAATATACGAACAGTTTTAAATGCAAATTCAATGGGCCTGAAGCTGACAACTTTTTATTGGTGGCAGATTGTCGCTCGTCTAACGTACACATTAAGAAATTAGACATTAATGACCCATAGCGGACGATGACCGGGATCGGGCAGAAATCTCCGCCGATTAGTAGGCGTTGTCAACTTTTTCGCACTTTCGTTTTACCTACGAATATCATATAATCTCTCAGAAAATTACTTTTTGTCTCAAATTGTCTGTTCCTTTCTTTTTGTAACTAATCAAAGGCTGAACAGAGTAAAATTTTCTTCAATCCATCCTCCTACTCTCTGTCGCTCACAGTGAAATAAAAGCAATAAATACTATACCTACTGTTTATAATCTCATAAAATTATATGTATACACACAACCTCTTTATTAACGTTTAAAAGACTTTACAAAAATCGCTCTGTCACAAAGGTATTTCACTCGATCAAAGTAATTTCGATATCCCTTAATAAGCTAAAAAATTATAAAATTTCAATGTTGATTAACGAATGTACGAGACTATATCGAAACCCAATGCTGGAAGCGATAAGCAACGAGTCAAGTTGTACATCTTCGAATTTACAAATAAATAAGGAATAAACATATCGATACACGTTAAGGTAATGCTGGACAGTTTTCATTTACTTGATAAAATCCTTGAACATGACATGTAAAAGCCTGTTGCTTAGCCAAGAGTGATACCGTTATTAGTTACAGTATTACGATATTACGAGTTTAAGGAGGATTGTGGGAAGTGGGTTGTTGGAGGGGAGTGACGGGGGAGGGGAGGGGGGGAGAGGCGGAGGATATTTAGAATAGCGGCAAAAAACAGTGGCGCGCTCACTTTCAGAGCTCCCATTCTAATAACACATAACGTCGTCCAATGTATTGTTGTTGCGTATTGCTGTCTGTTGTTTACGCCGGTGTTCAGCAAATATCATCGTCCAAAGAGAAACAACGCGCGTACGATTATTCATTCTGGCTAATAATCGAGACCCTCTTCGTCTCAATTCGGATAAACTGATAAACGATTTACCTGCACATTATGAGCTTCCTATGCTCTTTTGGTAATTCATTTGTTGCTGTAAAGTTTGTCGCTCGGTGTTTATCAAATAATCCTGTAGTTAATCACACACGCACGCACGCACGCCACGCACGCACGCACTCGACGTACATACACACAGCATACGCGCGCGCTTGCGTTTGCATTTGAACGAGGCAAAAATAATTGATATATTATTTTTCACTAGACATGTTTTTTTTTTTTTTCTTTTTTTTTTTTTTTTTTTTTTGGTAACTTAACTAGTTTTGTCATGTTGATATAATTCGCATTTTTATTTTCAATAGATGTTTACGTCAGTCGAACTGAAATCGCAGGTACGTCGTTTCTCTTGATGATTGAAGTTTCGTTACACATACATATACACATGTATTTATCTATGCATACGTATGTATATGTATGTATGTGTATATATATATATATATATATATATATATATATAATATAGGCATACATACGTTCATACATATATACACATGAAATATATATATATATATATGCAGTCGTAAACTCACAAGCGTATCGGAGATGACTAAGGTCACGATGATTCTATTTATAGTTTTTATCTATCAATGCATGATGGACAAGATTATGATTATATGCCTCCTAAGCGGTGGCTGATCAGTGCGCTGTGGTTTCACTGTAAGAGTAAAAATGTCAGATCACTAAGCATAAATGTAATGATAGCAAAATGGAAGACATATGTAGTAGATAGTTGCATATAATATATACTGAGTAAGCAATAAGAAAAAATTGAAGGACACGGAGAAAGAATAATGACTCAACGGCTATAAGAGCAGAAATTGATTTTACTGTACTTTTTTGTGGTGTTAGTACATGGATGTGCTTAATTCAAAATATCAAAAATTCAGTATTTATATAACATAGATAAGTGTACTGATTGAAAATTCAATTAACAAAACGAGTTTTCAACATAAACATTTGCATTTGTAATTGGTAAAATGCGAATTAATGAAAATAATATATAATATTAATAACAAATATGAAATTTATTTTATTTACAAATTATGTGATTTAAAAAATCTTGTCAATATGTAAGTAGACGATTATATATATATATATATATATATATATATATATATATTTTAATTAAATATTAATAGATAAGTTATTTTTTAACTTTTGACATTCTGAATTTTTAACATTCTGAAACTTAATGAAGCATGGTCAAACACGATATTAAACACTCAATTTGGAGATTAACAGAAGAACATAAGAAATGATATAGATCACATTCAGTGAGGCTTCTTTGATTCTTGATAGTTAATAGCACAACGTGCGCCTGTGTATATGTGTATATGTGCGTGCGTGCTTGTGATATATACATAGAATCCCGTTTTATTTGGAGAGGGTGTATGGTAATCAAGCCCCAGAAAGCCACCATATTCGGTCCAAAGTTGATAGAATTTATAATCCATCTCGGCCTTCAAGCTCTGTATGCACAAACTAACAATTTCACATACAAAAAGTCAATTCGGCATTGTATAACAAAACTAGAGCCAATACTGTTCAGCTTCTATTTTCGATGGGTGTAGTGCCATTATATATTTATTTCATCGACGAAACGTAAGAAGAAGTTGGTGACGAAATTTTAGACATTAATTTATAAGCCAGTGAGTAGCCGATAAAACGTCTTTCAATTATTTATAATTTTCTTTGTTATTACAGAAAATATAAGAAATTTTACTTTTCAACTATTCAATATTAAAAATATTTTGCAGATATATGGTGGTACAAGCTTTTGGCACATTTTCCTATTTATTATTTGGAAACTTAAGAAACTGTTTTTTTTTTGTTTTTTTTTTTCAAATATCCGAACAATAAAATTCATTCATTTACAAATTCTTTACATTTTAATCAATGTCTTACGCTCAAATACAAAGAAATACTTTGCCAATTTAAAAACATTGCTAGTATTGAAGTATTTATGCAGAAAAATGAAAAAATATTTGCGAAACAGAATGCATTGCAATCGTTAATTTTAGTAGATTTTTCTATTCTTAAAAGCAATAATCTAATATTTATTAATAAACTTTGACATTATCAAAGTCTTAATAATCGTAACACTATGTAAACTTTGTAATATAGCAAAGAAGGAAATATTCTCTTAATATTTGATAAATAGATTAAATTCTTAAACTAAGAATAATTAATATATTTATGTAGTGCTTATTATACGAATGTAGATATCTACACAACATACTTTATTATTTGTTGTTTAATTGTAAATTCTTAAAAAGGAAAATGCAAATGCAGATTCTATAGAAAGAAAATGTCAGTCATTTGCTTAGGAACAATATTTTGTAGTATAATATGTTGTATATTTTAAAATATACGATTGAAACTAAGGAGGAAGAAACTTGTTGACTTCAATTGTAGTAAACTAATTTTGTATTCTTTTATCAAATTGTTCTCTTCCATTATTATTGTGCTCAAGTTGGTCAAGGTTGATGTGAATTACGGTAGCACGATTCGCGAAGGCATTATATATATATATATATATTATTTTTCATTTTGAACGCCAGAGTGAACAAACGTAAAAATAAAGAAACCCACACTCCAATTACTCTACATATTATATTCGTGAAACTTTTGAATTCTAAAAGTCATACTTTTATGTTAGAAGAAATTATTTCGAATAATGTAATAATGCGTAGAGTAAAATCAATTCCCAAAACTTTCCTTAGACTTTCGTTTTTCGTAGTAATTTTAATTATTAATTTTAATTTAACAATCGACTCTCGATAATATATTATTTTTGCAATTTTTCCTTTGATTAACATAATTATTTCAATGTTATTATTCGCTATTACAATGAACAACAAATATTACTTTAATTGTATCGTAAAAGTATAATGCTTTAAACATACACGATCTACAAAATTATCTTCTGTATTAGTTAGTTTAGATATACCGTGGAATCTCGTAGGCATGTCTGATTGCACAAAAAAAATATAATCTGCCTAATGTTTGTACACGCAATGAAAAATAAACAAATAATCAAACAGTGTCGTTAAACTTTATAAAATGCCCAATTAATACTAAATTCTAAATCAGTTCTTTATAATTGACAAATTATATAAAAATAAAAAGACACATGTAAAATATTAATATTGATAAAAGACAGCTTTCCATTCTTCGTTTTGTTATGTTTTTGAACGGACGCAAAGTAACGCTCATCTACTTTCACACGTACGGTGCTATAATGTGCACAAATGCATGTATACACACACTACATTATTTCGCATCATAAATCCTGAAGCTCTATCGCCACCACACATACACACAAATAATCACAAAATGTAAAAATACAAACTAGATAATTAAATACTTTCCTTTATCTTTTTTCTTTTACTGTATAACTCTCTATACAACAAAAAGATGATGAAAAGAAGAAATTTGCATATTTAAAGCCTTCTGTATCACGTAAACGAGGAATGAAGAGTGAAATAATAAATATGTTTTCGTGCGCAAAAGTTGTGCATATCAAGTAAAAGTATTAGAAGACGACATCACAGAATTAATATACACATACGTTATATATATATATATGTGTGCGTGTGTGTGTGTGTGTGTGTGTGCGCGCGCGCGCGCGCGCGCGCGTATATATATATATAGACAATTAGAAAAACATTTGTATATCGTTAGAAAGAAAAAAGTGTGCACGCAAGAGGCGTAATTGAATTTTTTGTTTGCAATGAAAAGTTGGCAATCAGCTTACACAGTCTCGTACTCGCGGCGAATAGAACGTGCCAGGCAACACGCAAAGATCACCCCGATCAGCTGAAACATTTTGTAAATATTAGCACTGATATTATTTTTCTGTTCCTTGTTCTCACCGATCCATCGTTTTCATTTTCAGTTTATAATTCAAATTGAATAGAATTCAATGAAAAGTCGTTTGCCCGCACGAGTCCTTTTTGTCTTTCATATTATCCAGCACTTGTCTAATCTTATAATGTCGATGATAATAATTAACAGGGCTTACCCGTTGCCAAATTTAACATCCATCTCTCGAAATATCACATAAAAATTCGAACATGCAATTAAACAACATCGACAATTTATCGCAAATCGCTTAAAAAATCTGCCTCGGGAAGCTCATTATGTTAATTATTGATTGTTCCCGTAGGCGAGATAACCTCAGGCCAATGAGAACAAGGAAATGTCGATCGCAAGTGCAAATGTCCGTAAGTACCTGAATAAGAGCGACGCCGATGCCGACACCGCCAAGTATCAATGCGTTTTCCTCGATTTTCCTGTGTAGCTGATCCTTGCAGCCTTCGGTGTTGGACTTGATGTCGTTGGTGTCGCAAGTCGGATTGTTTGCCGGCAGTTCCGTGCAGCAGGATTTGGGCAAAGTCTTGTCCGGGAAGCCGGCGCGTGTCCAGTCCGAGGGGTAATGGACGCCGCAGCATTGCAACTGAAACACAAACGTGGAAGCTTTTGCTTGTAATGTTCGTAATAAGACAGTTGCGATTAATAATTAAATTTACATTGTTTGCTCGTATTGGCAATAAAGGTTTTATTTAATTACAGTGCAAGTTAATAGTTATTAAGCTTCCGTTTGCAATTGAATTTGTCCGTTCTGCGCGATCGTAAATCGGATTTTGTTTTTCTTGCAATGCTTTCGCATCTGTGATTTAAATGCGATTGAAATTCAAATTTCATTATTCATCGATTTAGTTCCCGAGATCGTACAATGAATACCATAATATTTTGTGATATAACAAATCAAATTTTAATACTAATCTATTAGCCGTTAATATTAGTCTGGAAATAAAATTACCTCGCGTATTTTAAATTACCTAAGACCAGCATATTATTAATAATAATAATAATAATAATAATAATAATAATAATAATAATAATAATAATAATAATAATAATAATAATAATAATAATAAGCAAATATATGGCATTGCAATTAGAGCTTTTGTGACATAAATGAAACGTAAGTACTTTTTTTTATGAACGGCATATCTCCGTCGTACTTAGCACGACACCTTTTCTCATTTACTTTTTAATTACCTTAATGAATTTCTTAATGTTAACTATTGCGTTTTACTGTTTTCGTAAATCACCGTAAAGAAACGAAAGTCATGTATATTCATAGAGAAGTATAAATGTCTCCTCCTAAAACCATAATACCTCTATACGCTTTGAACTAAAGGTTTTAAAATAAGTTTGGTGGTTACTTAATTGATTTAAAAAAAAAAAAAAAAAAAAAAAAAAAAAAAAAACCTATCGTATAGATAAAATCTTAAGTTTACAATTCATGAGTTTAACAATCCAATTAAATTGCTTTTTCAAAATTAAATCGTACAATTCATGATGAATAGCTATTACGTAATCTTTGCGTGTGTAATCAAACGCGAATGATGTCGGGTGGATTTCAAAAAGAATTTCACTAGAAGAACGTGAGTAATGGCCGTCGAAAAGCTGACCCTGCCTCGTCATAACAACAATTCACCAGAAATGAAACCGCTTGGCAATTGTCGATTTAACTTATCGACTCGAGCTCGCAGCCTGCTGCAGCCTTTAAATTTGCGGAAAAAACCTAGAGAAGATCGTCACAGCTGCAGTATCGCTGGGTAATGTGATAAAAACAGGCTCGGCTGGACGAGTGGAAGGAAGTTAGGATCGCGAGAGAGAGAGAGAGAGAGAGAGAGAGAGAGGGAGCGTCGGAGTTGTATTTGGCCGCGGTACTTCTTATCGCCGGTTCTGATCGTTTCGAACGCGTCTTTGACCCCATCACCGTCGACCATCACGGGCTTCGTCATCCCACCATTTTCTCCCCGTCGACTTGTGCTCTCTCTCTCTCTCCTATTGTGTCCGCGCCTATCATGCTTACAATCATTGGCTACACACATACTTACTGGCGAGGAAACCTTTTGACTTTATGAAGATTTCTCGAATTTTCATAGCCAAATTTCTCCCTTTAACACTCGTAAAGATTATGTAGCAAACGTAATGAATAACTCTACCCTAATCCTCTCATATCAACTAATTAACAATGTTCTTTACATCGATCAATTCGTTGTCTCTATTCTATATTCTACAAGCGACCTACATTTATTTAATTCCTCATCTCCATCTTTATATATTCTTATATATACACATTTGTCGCTGTGTTATTAGTAAAAGTACTATTATGATGCTATAAATATTACTTGCGATGAAACGCAATCGTGTGCCTAATAAAATAATTTATTTAAAATAAAACGATGTCCACGATTATTCTCTTTTAGTTAAATAGTTCATAATAAAGAATCAAATATTTTCTATAATTCATACGCAACCCTTAAAGCGTTAAATTAAACTAAAGTTTGAGGTAAAATTTATTTCAATATTTCAATTCATAATTTAAAGCGAAAATAAATTACAAAGGAACGGGAGGAAGAAAAGAGTGTACAATACATAGAAGACGTATTAATTAGAATCTATCGAGAGCTTAATGTCAATTTACATTTCATAAACTATTGTCGGCATAGTTGCTGGTCTACTAAACAATAAAATTCGATGGCTATGCTCGCTATTCCTACAAGTAGAAACGTTAAAACATTCAGCTGTTTTCCTATGTTATCAATGTACACGGAATAAATTTTATGAGTAAAAGTTATAATTAGAACATTAAGCTTTTGTACTATTTTACAAATCAATATTATTAAGTTTTTATAATATTGATACAAGATAATATCTTTTTATTACGCAGTAATAGTCCTGCAAAAGATTAAACTAATCTTAATGTTCACTCTTAATAGCTGAAAATCTAATCTTATCTTAAGATCGTCAGTCGTCGAGTATAATAAAAAGTTTTACTATTTAGTAAATATGTAACGTGAATAAGAAAATCTAATGGCTTGTAACTGAGCCACATGTCAAATACGTTAATTATCAATTTTCCGGTAATTGCTTTTCTCTTATGAATATCGATTAAAATTTATAAAAATATTACCATTACTGAGATATCGATTAAACCTACATTTAATAAATAGAATGAGTGAATTTTTGAATCCTTAAAATATAACGAATATTGCAAATTTATTATGAAGAAAGCCGACATCGTTATATTACTATTATATAACATACTAATTTTATCGTAAATGAATTGTAAATGAATATTTCATTGCAATATTAATAATAATTAGTATTAAAATCGAATGCGCGAGATTTTCACAATCGAAAAATAAAATATGAGACTTATATTTACAAAAATTTCCACTCTATATCATTGTAGATCCAGTATCGATACGATATTCAATAATTTGGCAATTCACGTCGAAAATCTCATTTTCTAAGATTTTCATTCGATCATTATCTTATTATGATTCTAAATACTTTTTAATTCGTAACATTAATAATTATACACTACTTATTAAATATTCTTTTGGTACTGAAACACTAGTATTACAATTTTTTTTTTTTTGCAGAGATAGTACTTCTTTACCATACTCATTCAAAATAATGTATGAAAGCTGTTTTACAAAAGTTGAAATAAAATAAATAAACAACTTATTTTAATGAATAATAAACTACATGTTTTTTAATTAAAGGTGAATTTGGATACTCAATTTATATAACTAAAAGCATAATAATTTGTAAACATTAGCTAAAATACTTTTGAAGATAAGACGTAAAGTAGTTTTAAATTTAAAAATCAATATCTGCATTGTTCGTCAATAAATTATTTGTAGTTATTTTCAGTACAAAGCTACCTTTATTATAAATAATGTATATTTATATACGATAATTTTACACCATAATATAGGAAAAAATTGTATATCATGTTTTTCTTAAATATATATATATATATATATATATATATATATATATAATTATAAAAATTGAAATTTTAATATATATAATTTATATTCCTCGTCAATAATTTAATGATAAATATATATTAAAGATTTAATATATGAGTGAGTATAACAATATAATAGATAAATGTGCGTCTACACATCTTGATCGAGGATTTAATTTTTTAATGATAAAGAGAACTTGCGAATCGTATTTATTCAATAACATAAGTACATTTTTCATAAAATAGCTTTAATTGACTTAAGATATATTCATTGACAAATTTTCAAAATGTCACTTATCTTCAATTATGATTTAAAAAAAAATATACATATTTAATTTTGTAAAACATTTTCCTTTATTTACATTGAAAATGTCTTATAAATAATAGTTTTAATAAGCATTTAATAAATATTCCCTTTCATTCGAGTAATTTATTACTCTTGATATTTATGATTTATGCTTGGTAGAGAGTGTTGAAAGTTTGTTAGTGTATCAAAAGAATATCTACCAATGTTAGTTAAATTTTAATAAAAATTCTTGCCCTTTTTCATATTTATTCTAAAAATAATAAGACTTTTATATTAACTTCACGTAAAATTTGATCATTTTACATAAAGATCTTTTATGCATTCTTTATCGGCATTTAAGAAATTTCTATTCATTATGATAAACAAAATTTAATTTTTCTTCTTCGATTTTACATTCACGTCAATTATTAAAATTTCAATAATTCCTCTAAGCTGCAAATATATTAATTTTACTAATAATACCTTACGTTAAATACTGTTCATAAATGTATCTAAAGTGTATTTCTAATCATACGTAAGAAATTTTATTAAAATATTATAGCTTAATAAATATACATTTCCTTTTCAATTATGATTTCTTTATTAATTTATTCCTTTATATTTCTTACACTTTCATACGTTACTTATTACATCCTATAGTTTAAAGCTTTATTTATATAACTCTTTTGTATTGTCCAGACTGAAAGAGAGAATAATAATGTCCCATGTTATTTTTATATCGCTAACGTTGCGTTATATCTTATAAATAATATCTTTCAATTATAAATTTCAAAACCAATATGAAAATTAGGCATACTGCATTTGAGTATCGATATTTAAATTCACATGGAAATTTTTATTTCAGCTAAATACATTTAGCATTACTCATAAAAATGACTTTCGATTAGTAGTTTCATATTATGAATATTGAAATTGAATTACGATTTAAACGTTTAGGAAATCATTATAATTGACAATAACTTTGACATTTCAATCAATGAAATGCATTAAAGATTGATTGAACTTTAAATCACTTAGTTATTTCGTAATAAGTTTATATTTTTGACGAATACAATAACGTTCTCTCTTTGTTCTTTCTCTCTCTCTCTCTCTCTCTCTCTCTCTCTCTCTCTCTCAATGCCATAAAAAAATAAATAATTGTCATGCAGCCATAATATTGTCAATTATTCACATTTTAAGAGCTCATCTACCATAAACTATAGTCTCCAATGTGTACGATAATTCAATTATTTTTATAATACATAACCTCAATTATCTCAGTAATTTGTATACTTTAACTAATAATAATTTAAATAACAATCACTAACATATGTTCTTGACAAATCGAGATAATTTCCATCAAAAATCATATAAACCCTAAAGATGACAGATAATTCGTCGATCCCTTTCACTTTTTTGTTAATCATTTCAATTGAAAAAAATTGAAATTGCAAAGTTCAGTTTATCATTGGTCCAAACATTAATGTTTAATCAATGAATTTTTAAATGTTAGTTGGGCAAATATTTTTTGAATCGGCTGATTAAAATACAAATTTTATAAATACGAATAGGGCACAAGTAATAACCGAGCTGTGATGTTTAATCCCAAGTATTTTACAATTATCGATATGATTGTTTCCTTGGATTTTCAAATACGACCCGGAATTAACAACGAGCCAATAAAGAAATAAAATTTTCTCATTTGCTATTAATTGTAAATTAATTGCAGGCACTCGCTCCCTTAACGCGCTAAGGAAACTAATCTTTTTATTCTCTCTTCTATCCCCATTCGTGGCAATATTGTGATATTTGCATCACGAGCGCTGTATTTTCAAACTTGCGCACAAAAGTTCTAAATCAGAAAGATCTGTTCATCGAGCCAACAAATTGAAAAGAGAGTTCGACGAACGCTCACCCCACTTTGTTACCTAAGACTCGCTATGTAAGAATTGCCACCGGTTATTATTTAAGCTTGAATGTTTCAAAACGGCCACGGAAAATGAAGAGGTCGATTCGCTCGTCGAGCTTGCAAAAACTTGCCGCCACGTTCAAATAATTGAAAAAGTCCCACGGTTTCGCCTCTCTCGTTCTACTCCACGAGTATCATCGCGTCCTCGGGCTTACGTGTGCTACCTACCACTACACGCTCACGGAGATGATTGCGACGGCGAGGCAAAAAGTACCGGGACAGGGTGGGAGAGAGATCGCAATTGGCGTGCACGATACTGCCTCGGTAGCGGCTACGAAATCCGACTATGCACATTGTGTATAGCTGCCGACATGGTGAGATATTGATTGACAAGGTGGGCACGAGGCCGTTTCCGTCCGTGTCGTTCCCCCTTGTCTATCGAGCTCCCAACCCCCGCGATACATACGGGGTTACGCGCGCTTTCGATTTTACCTGAGTCGAGCTGGCGATGATGGGTTCCAGTCCCATTGGCTCAACATCTTGGATAAAAAAATTCGCCAAGTCGTGTGAGAGGTAGCGAAACAATGAGCGAGAGAGCTTTCTTTCGGACACCCTTCTCTTTCTGTCGTTTCTTTCTACAACTCCCTTCCACTGCTTTTGCTCGTTTGCTTATTTAGCGCACAATGTTATGCGTCGCGCTACGGCTTGTGTACGTCTCAGCCTTTCTTTGAATAAAAATGCCATTTACATAACAATAACGAAGCCTGGGATCATGCAATCGTAAGAAATATATTTCATCGTATA